TAGCTGGAAAAAAGAGTTTTCTCATCCATAGACCTCATTAGAGCGTACCAACAAATTCCAGTTCGCGAAGAAGATATACCGAAAACGGCCATTCTCACTCCCTTTGGCTTATTCGAGTTCCCATTCATGACGTTCGGCCTACGAAATGCGGCCCAAACGTTCCAACGTTTCATGAACAGTGTGTTGAATGGACTAGAATTCGTGTTTTGCTATTTGGATGACATTCTAATAGCCTCTCCAGATGAAGAAACTCATCGAAAACATATACGAGCAGTCCTCGAGAGACTAAACGAATATGGCCTGTGTATTAATGAGGCAAAGTGTAAATTTGGTCAAACAAAACTTGCATTCCTGGGATACGAAGTGTCAGCTGAAGGACTTAAACCTCTTTCAACGAAAGTTGATGCCATCAAATTGTTGAAATTGTAACATAGCACATTATTCACGGTCCGTGTAGATTAACCATTTTATCCAACTGTCCTATTCAAAGGACAGCTGAAAATAGCATGTAGAATCAGTATTTGCTTCGTGAGAATATTTTGCCAGCTGGAATATGTATTAGCATCTGCTAGCGTGATTTATGTGTCTCGTCCACTCCTCCTTCCTCTGGACATTTTGATTATTCATCGCATTAGTGGGCGTGGTTTGTATCATCTCTTTGTAGTTGCAGAATTCGTTTTCAGTTTACTTTGGACACTCGGCTGGGCATTTTGTATGCGAAAGTACTCTTACCTTATCATCCTGGTGGTTAATGAAAGCTTTATTGTTATTAGGTGAGTTTTAGGGCTTTGTTTTTTAACTGTCCTCTAAATAGGACAATGGAACAATGAGTATGCAACTGACGCGTTCTTTCCCTCTTTATAAATACGAGTAAAAAAAAAATTCTAGTGTTTCAACCCTGCTGAATTATGTCAGTGCAAAGGTTTCTGAAGTTAGAGGAAGCATTAGAACTATTCAATAGTTTAGATTCAGATGAGAGCGAAGTTAAAATTGCTGTGTTACCACCAGATGCCAGTGAACTAACTGACGAAGATAAAGGAGATGAGAATGAAGTAAATACTGGTGAGATTATTGTAACCGATGTTCCTGGGTCTCTGGAGGTTATAACTGGAGATAGTTTCCAGCCTGAACCGTCCACAAGCTCTAGTGTTTCCACACGAAAGAGTAGGAAAAAAGCTAAAAGACATCACCAGTCATCTTGAATAAAGAATAAATCACCACAATATACAAAATGGAAAACACAGGATGAATCAATTGCAAGTGACTTGCTCAAGCAGATGAAAACTGCATTGAAAGACAAAACTCCATCAGAGCTTTTTGAGCAGTTTTATTCCAGTGAAGTCTACGATCTCATTGTAAAAGAAACTGTGCGATATGCAACAGATATATAAAAACGAACACGATTTCTTGACTACTGCCAACGAAATACGTGTTTTTACAGGAATTTGGCTTCTAACTGGTTATCATTTAAATACCTGCTCTAATAATTTTTGTGCATTTCTAAGTCAGATAATGGTGGTTTAGTGAGTTCACTAATTTTAACACTTTTACATTTTTAACAATATTTTAATTACTATATACAGAGCGTATTCTTAGGCCGCCGCATTCAACATGAACAAACTTTATTCTTTTTCAACTATCCGAGCAACAGCACCCTCTAGCCTTTTCCTTCAAATTACACAACGCCTGCGAACGTGACTGCTGGTCAGATGCTGAATACCTTGGCATTACCCTGGTGAAAAATGTCATGTCACAAAACCGCTTCCAAAAGTTGAAATCTTATTTATACTTTGTGGACAATGGAACTGTCAGTCAACATGCCCAGGATCAATCCTTCAAAGTAAAAAGTAAACCTTTGCTTCAAAGTAAACCTTTGCTTGCCGTACTCAAAAATAATTTTATGAAATTTGGACACTTCTCTGCAAATCTAAGAATTGATGAAATGATCGTTATGTATTACGGTAGGAATAGTCTGAAACAGTTTGTCCGAGGCAAGCCTATATGTTTTGGATATAAACTTTGGGCTCTCTGTGGGAGCGAGGGATATTGTTACAACTTTTTCTCTCTATTGCGGTATACGAATCTGATGAAAAGAAATGATGCTCCTCTTGGTACTCGAGTTTGTGATGAAACTAACAGAGAATATTGTGAATCCTTCAAGCTACACTTTAATATTTTTGATAACTTTTTTTACTAGCATTGATCTTTTGAAAAGTCTTGGTGAACAGTGTTTTCGAGCTACAGTAACCATACGAGAAAATCGGATAAAGCACGAGTTTCCTTTAGAAGAATCTAAGTCTATGCGGAAGAAAGAAAGAGGCACGTCTGATTTTGCATTTGACGAGAAATCTGAGATTTTCCTGGTGCGATGGAATGATAATAGTACTGTCCCTGTCGCTACAAATTTCAGCACTTTAGAACCATTCTTTGATCTGAAGAGGCGAGTGAGAGGACACAAAGATAACGTGAAGATGCCAAATTTGATTAATTCTACAACAAACATATGGGCGGTGTGGATCACCACGACTGGTTGGCTGGACTTTATTCCATTAAAATTCGTGGGAAAAATTGGTACTGGCCACTTTTTACACGTTCGCTGGATAGGCTATGGTAAACGCCTGGCTAATTCACAAAACTCTGAACAAAAATGAAGCTCTAAACTTGAAGGAGTTCCAAAGAGCTGTGACAACAGTTTATCTAAAAGAAACTGTGATAAGAACAAAAGGTAGACCTAGAATATGGACTATACCTTCTGATGCAAACGAAGACATCCGTAAAGATAATGTTAGTCATTTTTTATTAAAGCTAGAAAAACAGCGTCGTTGTCAAAGAGAGGGCTGCAAAGGAAAACCAAAAACATACCGTGGCAAATGTGACAAAACACATTGTCAGGCTTGCTTTGGACCTTTCCACCAAGATTAGAGTGAAATTCATCTGAAAAGTGAACTATCTTTTAAATAAGAAAGTATTAGTCGAATAAAGTAAAATTTGTACACGGAAATCACTTTTCATCATTGAAAAGAGAACACTAAAAACATGTAAGTGCAAATTTTTATCCCCTTTATCCCAGTGTCCTATTTAGACGACCGGCCAGATTTCTTATATAAAATATAAAAAATTTTCTAATTTTGTTATATTTAGTTCGTTTAGGTTTAATTAACCTTAGAAAATATCATTCTTTTTAAATTTGAACAAAATAAATAAATTGGGATAAAATGGGTTAATAAACCCAAACTCGTCTGCATGGAAAATGGCAAATGTAAAAAGGAATTTCCTAAAGCATTTGCTAATTTCAGGAATAAAGATGTGAATGGGTATCCAAAATACAACGTAGAAGGACGAAGCCTACCATAATTGGCAATAAAGTAATAGATAATTCGTGGATTGTGCCACCCAGTTCTTATTTACTTTTAAAATACAATTGCCATATACATGTAGAAGTTTGTGCTTCTATTCAAAGTGTCAAATATCTTTATAAATACATTTATAAAGGACATGACTGTGCACGAGTTGAACTGAGAAATCAAACTCAGGATGAGATTTGGAAATTTGTGGAATCACGTTATGTTAGCGTCCCTGAAGCGACATGGCGAATATATGCACTATCAGAGTCATACAATTTACAGATTACAAGTGCATTTTCCTGATGAGCAGTATGTGTGCTTCAATCCTGAAGATTTAGAAGGAGCTGTTGAAAGAGCAGCAAATAAGCACACAAATTTGACTGCTTGGTTTGAACTTAATAAGCACAATGATGAAGCTAAGGAATATTACTATCGTGATACCCATGAACATTTTGTATACAATGCAAAAGCACCAGAACAATGGTGCCTGAGCCAAAGTAATCGGAAGAATGTTTACATTGTCAATTCAGCTGATAAAGAACGCTATTGTTTACGGCTTCTTCTTTTACACGTCAAGGGTGCCACTTCTTTTGAATACCTTAAAACATTTAGTGAAGTGGAATATTCGACTTTTTATAAAGCGGCAAAGGCTCGCGGTCTTTTAAAAGATGACCAGTTGTGGAACACAACCCTAGATGAAACTAAAGAATTTTTGAATTCAAGGCAACTTTGCCTTTTTTTTTTTTTTTTTTTTTTTTTTTTTGCATATATACGCAAATTTACCGACGATTTTCTTCAGCATGCTGAATTATGGAATCCGTCTAGGCAAAACATGATGGAAAGTTTTTGCCATAAAATCCATCCTAATAATGAACATTTCCCACATTTTAATTGTGAAAATTTCGCACTTTTTGAAGTGCAGAGTGTTTTGCAAGAACACTCCTTAAAATGTTCAAGCTTTGGCTTAAATGATCCTCTTGCTGATCTTGATATGCAAGAAAATCAATATTATCTGGGGGAACAGATGGCACTTGCAGATAGAGATAAAGAAGACTCTAAAAACCTGTCAGTTGTATCCAAAACATGGTTTGAAGCCATGGCACATTCGTCAATTATTATGAGCTTTGCTCTCTTAAAAGCTTTGTCAGTATTAATATTAGATACTAAAGTTTCATTTAATGGAATTGGCAATCCAGAAAGACTGTGTATTGTCTTTACATCAAGTAATAAATTTGCGGCTACGCCTGTTGTAGCAGCAAAGAGGACAGGCAATTGTTTTTTTTTTCTGCAATACCTCAACAGAATTGTATAAAGATATGTTTTTCCAGATCCTCCAGGACCGTCAAGAAAAAACAGTTTGCCATTATTGATTGGCGCATCTAAAGCAGTTAAAATAAAATCATACGCTGACCTCTGTTGAGCATTAACGTTCTTAGTGCTCTGTCATACTCAGAACAACTGCACGAGTAATTTTGTGAAAACTTTGAGAAGTTAAGTATTTCTACTGTTAAGTATTTCTTCTAGGAAAATAAATTTTATCAAGCTGTCATTAGTTCCGAGTGCATTAAATTCATTACTAAGTCGTATGCACGTAACAATATAAAAGAAAATCCTCTAATTTCAGCACTGATTGATATGTACTTTAATTTCAAAAGGAAGAATAAATACAATTTTTAAACAATTCCTCACTTTATTTCTTCTTTTTGCCCTTTTTCTTGTCTTCTTTGATTACTTCAGGAACTTCTACTGGAGGTTCCTCTGGAGGTGGAGGTGTCTCATCTACTAATGGAGCCTGAACGACAGACTTCGCCATTTGAATGAATTCTAACCGATTCGAAAGATATTTTTGCATATCTTTGAAGATTCTTAACCCTAAATGGGAAACAAAGATACCTGTACAGCTATTTTAATGGTACAAACGTAGCCACTGAGCACAATAAAAATAATACATTTTTTATCAAAAAATGCACTTAGATATAAAAAATTGTATACGGGAATTTAATTTAAAAGAAAAATGGAAGAAATCCTAAATTTTCTCGAGCCCGAATCCTAAACAGTTACCGAATATTTCGGATCCTTTATGCAAAACTAGTAGCATAAACGGAAATACAGTTTTTAAAACTAGACCTATGCTTATTAAGATAATTCAAACGAAATTTACTAAACGAAGTATGTAATTACAACTCTTGGATATCGAGATTTATTTTCCAAATAAAATTGGACAAATCTATTTTAGTAATATTTCATTTTTTCCCCATTTTCAGGACTTTTTAAAAGCAAAACAAATACAGTGTTCCCTCGCCACTTCGGGCTTCATGTTTTGCATCTTCAATGCTTCGCGGGTTTTTCCAAAATATTCATCAAAAAGTAAAAATGGAAAAATACAACCGTGTCGGCAGCCACATTTCGGAAAGGAGCGTTGCTTCATGTTGATGCGCGCGAGAGAAGGATCCCTGCATGTCAAAGAGATGAGTTGACTCAGAGTACATACCACGGGCTAATATAAAGGCCCCCCTGCGAAAGCTTCCTCCGGGAAGGAAGCTTTCGCAGGGGGGCCTAAGAAGAAAAAGATAATGACCATCAGAGAAAAGGTGAGACTTTTAGATATGATCAAAGAGGGCAGAAGTTATGCATCTGTGGCACGCCATTACGGGGAGAATGTATCTACAGTGCGGTACATCAAGAAAGAGGAAGCAAACATTCGCAAAACTGCTGCAATAACCTTCAATAAAGAAGCGAAACGTGTGGTAACTCCGCGTAAATAGCAGAATTGTGAAAATGGAAGCTGCACTGGCATTGTGGATAGCAGGAAAAGACAGTGAGTTTGTACACTAATATGATCACGACAAAGACCAAATCTTGCCCGATGACGACAATGAAGAGGCTGAAGGATGTGCTGATGAATCTCAAGCCAGTAATAGCGTTGCCTCGAAGAGTGATTCGCCTCCTGGAGGACGAGGCTTTTCAGCTAGCAAAAGCTGGTTCGAAAAATTTCAAAAAAGATACGGCCTCAGAAACGTGCGTCTGTATGAGGCTCCTTCTGCTGACAACGATGCTGCTTGTCGTTACGTGGAGGAAGAGTTCCCTAACCTAATCAATAAGAGAGGCTACCTCCCTGAACAAGCTTTCAACATGGATGAAACATGCCTTTTTTGGAAGAGGATGCCTTCGTGTACATTCCTCTTCAAGGACGAAATAAAGAAGCCAGGCTTCAAGGCTCACAAAAACTGTCATCATGGCTGGCAATACTCTAGGTTTTATGCTTAAGCCAAGCCTTATTTATAAAGCCAAAAATCCACGGGCATTAAAAAGCAAAAACACGGCTCTGTTGCCCGTGTTCTGGATGCATAACTCCAAGGCCTGGATAACGAAAGCTTTGTTCCTTGAGTGGTTCCTCCATTGCTTCATTCCTCAGGTGAAGCTGTATCTGGGTAAAAAAGGCCTTTAAGGTCCTTCTTCTGATGGACTGTGCAGGAGGCCATGCAACGGACCTGCAATATGACGATGTGTAGATACAGTTTCTACCCCCGAACACTATATCTCTAATTCAGCTGATGTGTCAAGGTCTCATTTGTGTCTTTAAGGCACTCTACACTAGCTGCACGATGGAGAGCCTCATCTCGTCAGTTGACAATGGCAATGACGAATTCACCTTCAAAGCATACTGGCACAGTTACGACATTACCTCATGTTTGTCTAATATTCAGAGAGCATTAAAGGACATGAAGAGTGAGACTATAAATTCTAGCTGGAAGAAATTATGGCCGAACGTGGTGCACGACTATCCAGACTTTAGTCCTAAAGAAGTTCATCACTCAGCGGTGGAGAAAGCGGTGAGGCTGGCTCACATCATAAGAAATGAAGAATTTGTCGACTTGACAAAAAAGAAGTCATCAGCGCCCTTATCGATTGCCACAAGGACCCACTGACCGATGAAGACCTCCTTGAGATGACTAAGTCTGCAAGTGAGGAAGAAAACGAAGAGGAAGACGAAGAAGAAACTGAAAAGCGTGGCCTTACCCTGCATAATCTGCAACATTTGTGCAACATGGCAAGAGCGATGCAACAATTTGCACAAGACATTGACGACAATATGGTTCGAGCTATCGAGTTCAGCAATCACGTTGACGGGGTTATGTCCTTGTACAGAGGAATTTTGAAGGATAGAAAAAACAAAGACAACAACTACCCATCACCATGTTTCTCTCCAAGGTAAAGCTCTCGGCTCTAGTGTCAACGCCTCTAGCAGAAGAGTCTCCGTGTGAGCCTAAAGCTTCTACGAGTCAAGTGAGAGCCTCTCCTCCGCCACCAACACAAGACTCTTCGCCTCTCTCAGAAAGCAATGTTGATTAATGTTTATTACTGTATTAATGTTTTTTAATTAACCTTATTAATTAGCACTGAAACGTTTAAGTAAATACGTATACTGTTGTAATTTTTGTCTTAAATGTATAAAGTATAAATACTGTTTACATATTTACAACATTCTTGTACCCGCATACACGAAAATTCCTAGGGGCAAATCCTACTTCGTGGTTTTTCAGCTTTCGCGGAAGGTTCTGGTTTCCATTAACCGCGAAAAACGAGGAATCACTGTATAAAGAAGAGAGTTTTTTTTAATAATTATTCGCTAAAAAATAAAATAATTTTTTCTCAAAGAGAGAGAGAGAGACTGTTGAACTCAGGGCCATCGCGAAGTTATATTGAAGCTTCAAAATCCCTGAAATTTCAAAATTGCTTTCCTTTTGTGTTGAACACTTCTAGATATTACCGGTAATTAATGTACTTAAATTTTCTAAAGTTTTTAATCCAGTGTGCAGGAGCGTTTTAGATTAGAATTCGAAATATATGAATGAAGGAAAATCTTTCAATCTCTTTCAAAACTCTTAAGCTCGTATCTTCTTTTTCAGTCTTGAATTTTGAAAAATATTCGAGATCAGGTTTCATTCTTTTTCAGGTTTCCTCCCCAAATATAATGAATAAATGGTATTTTATGAGTTATAATTCCAAACTATCCTTCTGACTCTGTATCTTGAACCCTTTTACAAACATACATCTAATTCGATATTGGATTAACCAGCAGCCTGCAGAATTTTTCGCTTAGCAACAGAAAATCCTTTTTCTACAAATGAAGGAAATATTATTAGTAAAGTATTGTTGCGCGTGTACGGGTTCGTAATAGATTGAATGCACAAGTCCGATAAAAAGTTAATAAATTTTATTCTTATTACAAGAAATAAAAACAAAATGCTGGAATTTTTCCTCAAAGATGTTCGTACAATATCACAATATCACGCAGTAGTTATATTTTAAACTACTAAAACGTTAAGTAGAACGTGATCCAAAGCAAAGCGCAGAGAAAGCTAATCCGATCTCACCGTGAATTCGCTACAATCATCAACAGCAACTAAGTAAACAACTGAGCTGAGATGTTTCTCTCCGGTTTTTATAGCTTTTGAAATCAGCCGCGCGAGACAGTTCTAGCAATTTCTGGAAAGCAAACAGAGTAGAATTACTGTTAGAGCTAATATATAGTAATCAATTACGCTTAATTAAATTTTAAAATAAATTACTGAGATAAACGTTTATTCAATGTTAAATGCACGTGCTCTCGTATTTTTATTTTTACGGCGTAGCTTTCTCTTAAAATTTGTTACGCGCTCCATTGCACGGGAAAATAAAACAATTTTAATTATAATTCTACTAAAAATGTGTAACTAAATACAAAATTCGTAACACTCCCCCCTTCTCAAGGACTGCACGTCCCGGGCTGTGCAATCCCTGAACAGGAAGTCATATTTACAACTAAAGCATCAATTCAATTATATACATTACATTACAATAACAAACAACATAAACAATAATTTCCATAACTAACTTAAAACAAATCAAATACTAAATAAATAAATAAGTGCATAAATTTACAAATTATGAAACAAAAAGGAGCATGGTGTGATACTTCTTTGGCAATATGAAGCAACTCCAATGTTGGAACACAGAAAAAACTTTATTTAACACTCAAAATGGCGACATACAAAACAAGAAGAAGAAAGAATTCTAACATTTAAAAATAAATTACATTCTTCGTGCGAGAGTCGCACGTGGCACTCGAGTCTGGTTTCAAATATTGCCATTCACAAATACCTTAATGTTCATCTATTTAAATTATTTAAACTACAAGATTTTAATACTATTTAAAGCTGTTACAACCTCTCCCCCAACGGAGAGACTTTTTCTTTCAACGGAGAAAAGTTCTGTAAAATTCGACAGTTTAATAAGCTCGGCTTGCTCATTTGCTTAAAGAGAAAAGGTAACTTCTCTCATAAGTTTCCAAATTTCAGAACAAAAATTTTAAGTTTTAAACAAATACTTTTACACCACATTTAAAAAAAAAAAATGGAGAACGTTCAAATACATCAGTTGAGCATACATTAAATAATAAAATAAATTCTGAACGTGGTTACATACACTAAGAGTTATTACATTACTTAATTCTACTCAGAACATCTACGTTCTTGTGCAAAGATCCTTTGCGATGAATGACCTTAAAATTATAAGGTTGTAATGAGAGTGCCCAGCGCATCAATCTAGAGTTACATTTGGCGTTGGATTGTAGCCAGACCAAAAGGTTATGATCAGTTTGAATCAAGAATTCGTGCTGACCATCCAGATAAAAATGCAGTTTCTTGATAGCGTAGATGATAGCAGCGCACTCCTTTTCAGTAGTACAATAATTCTTTTCAAACTTAGTAAATTTTTTGCTTATATACAAGATAGGATGTTCACGTTGTTCATCATCTAATTGGCATAGTACTATACCCATGCCATTGTTTGAGGCATCGGTTTGTATAATAAACCTTTTATCAAAGTCG